GTGATGATCACTGGGTTAACTCTTCTTAAATCTTCCCCAGAGTATCATAGATATTATTTTTAATATTTACAAAAACAAGCCCAGCTAGGTTAATAAAAACAGAAATTAACTTTGCCTAGCTTAATGTAGTATAATATTTACAATTACTAAAATGTAAACATGTATCAAATTATATTTTAATTATTAAATGTGATAAAAGACCTAAAACTTTAAAGTTTATTTATTTTTGAATTGATACTTCTAAATTGATTTCTTTTTTACATTTTTCATATTCAACTTGCCAGATTTTCCAAATTTTTTGTTTGTGATACAATTTGCTAGATGACTGCTTTTTATCTATATTTTGTGGTTAATTTATTTCAAACATTGACATAATTTCCTTTTTCGGCTTTGTAGTGTTCACAATACTCGCATTCATGATCACTTTCATCATCTTTCGCATTTTCTTCACTTTCTGTACTTAATTCATTACTTTCTCCCTCTTCTTTGATACTAATTCTTGCTTTTTCACCCGAAACTTTCCCAAAATTAAAAATTGAATTGTCTTCAGAGCTATTCATTTCTGTAGAAATTCTGCAACATTTAAATAATAATCATGTCTTAGCAGGATCAATAACATCCATCTCATGCTTCTTTAATCCATTTTGTCGCTAGCGAATATAATAAATGTTAATTTTACCTGCTGGCATATATTCCTTAATTGTTTCATATCCACTGGTCGTATGATAGACCTATTATTAAAATAGTTATTTAATCTTATGTTATTGGATCATGTTAACATAAAATTCAACCAAACCTGATCACATGATTTAGAACTAGAAGTAATAGTAGAACAATAGATTTTAAAAAAAAACAATAAAATGAAAGCATGAATATAAGCAAAAATTTTTTATTTATGACTGATCATAAATCTGATTAGTTGATCAGATAGAAGTGTGTCACAGCTTATGTTTACTAGTGTGCATTCGTGCCACTTATCTTATTTAGTATTTTTTTTTTTATTAGTGCTAAAAATTCTATTACGGAATTTATCATCTATTGCTATACACATAGTATGTATTAAATTTAAATATGCTGGATTGGAATTATCGTAATTTTTATCATGATTACCATAAGGAATTAGTAATGTGCTATCAGTCAGAAAAGATGTCATATACATTTATATATGAGTGTAAGTTTATAATAAATTTATAATTAAAACATATAAATTTACTATGACTTTAAGCTAAAGATCCTTTTAAACTACATATTAACTTATTTTCAAATTTTGAACTTAAATATATTGAAAATAGTAAAATAAAATCGCTTAGAACAACTTTTCAGTAATTTGTAGAATTATTAATAATGCTTAGCATGAATTTTAGCAAAAAAAGATATATACTAAAAATAAATCTGTAATTATATGTAAACTGCTATGCCAAACTATTTACTTAGAAAATAAAAATAGGTTGTCATAGTAAGAAAAAAAGTTATACATAGATAAACTAAAAAAGAGTTAATGTTATAAAAAAATATTTTGTAAAAAGAAAATAATTTTTTTTATAACTTTAAACTCGTTTTCTCTTAGTAAAAGGTTCAAAAAAACAAAAATCGGCGAACTGTATAGATGTAA